GACTCGGTCGAAGTTACTTTTTTTGCCCCCCCCCCCTGTATTTGCGGTCATTCTGGTGTTCAAACTCACTTCGTGGTGCATTTTGGCATATCCTAAGGTGGGGGTTGTATTTGCAAATATCCTCCTCCCCAAGACACGCCCTGCCTGGGAAGGAGAATTTTTTCGCTCCCTCTCTCATCTCCCTACGGTCAACCAAAACACTTGATGGGGGTCCTGCTGGGAGAGACCAGAGCGCAGAGAGGTAAAGAACTGTGGCCGCTAAGGCAGCGAGAGGTGCAAAAATGTGTCACCGAGCTAAAAAATGATTTTTTAAACGGAGATAACACCGGGTGGATCAGCCACTTAGTATGCGCGAAACGTTGGAGTGTGGAAGGACAGAGCGTTCACAGAACGCTATGCAGACGTGAGAGCGCTGAAAGAAATTTGCCGCTATCGAAGGGATTGAGTTTTAGTTGTCCGTAAGCCTCCGTCCCGACGCCTGTAGTCTCAGGCGTCAATCATCCGTATCCTTTCGCGGATTTCCCCATTCAGATTCGCCTTAAAGTATGAACCAGAACTTCAGCCGCAGCCGGAATAGTCATAGAACCCTCACTCCAGCAAGTGATCAAGTTCATCCTACTGCGATAGCGGTTCTCGCCTTCTTGCTCGTGAACCACAGTCTTTTTTTTCAAAGGAAATGTAGAGCAGTGAAAAGAACTAAGTAATCTACTCCTTCTAATACATGGTCGATATCGTGACCGTAATTCGTGGCGGTATCAGGAGGCGTAGAATAAGCCCACCTCCGACTCCCTTTCCCACCAATTGTGATCGGTTAGTGACCAATTCAGGGAAAAATATGACGAGCCGTGAACACTCGGGTGGGCTTTCTTCCATGTCTCTTGGCACCGCCCCGACTGGTTGCTGCGAAATCAAGTGCACGCGTGCTATTCCCGAATAAAACTGGTTTCTCACCGTGATGTAAGTAACAATGATGATGTGCAACCAGGCTGAGAACTCGAGCATTGTCAATGAGCTCCTCTCACCATCGGAATATCTTTCTTATCACATTGATAGATCGATATCGATTTGTGTCAGCACTTATAGGTATGGCTCGTGAAGCACCATCCGTCGATATCCTTATAGGTCCTGATGTACCATGTCGCTTCACGTTTGGACTTGCAATGACCGTTTCCTGTCCTCCTTCAGCGCAGACCAAATATGATCCGTTAGGGCACGTCCTGCCTGGTAAAAAGTTCCCAATACACCTCCCCCACCCTCAGGATTTCTGTAACTGGTAATTTGGTGCAATCACTCTTCTCCGTCCTATCTACCAGCTGCCTAAATTCATTTCCTACAATTTCCAGGAGTATTTCCTATCTCCCACTCCACTTTTTTTCCCTAAAAACTGCCGTCTTGCGGGGGAGGAGGGAAGGGGTGAGGAGTGCATAGCACACCCGAAATAGGAAAAAAAATCGAAACTGAAGAAGAAGACCATTCCAGATTCAGCTTGCCTTTGCTCTCGGAATGCCTGCATTCGCGGGTTACTGATTTTTATTTTTGAACTCACTCTAGAGTTTTCCCAAGCCTCCAACTCCCTGAAGGTGAGATTTCTCCAGAAAAACAGGAAAGGGCAAATACGTTTATACAAAATAAACACAGACATTTTCAAGTGGCAAACAATTGATAATGGAACCCGCTAGTCTCTACTGCGTGATACAACCGGGCTTTTCGCTTTCCGTTTCTTGGAGTTGCGCAAGCTTCTGGTGTGATCCTCTCAACTGTTCCAAAGCATATTTGTGGCCGATTTCGAAGGCACCTTCGAATACTTCGTCCAGACCTTCCTGAAAACACAATTTTTGATTTTTGAACTACAACATATCACTATAGGTTAGAGCTTAGCTAAGACAGAACCTGCTTATCGAAGTGAAGACTATTTCTTTTTCTTGGGCCGAAACCCAAAAATCCAATTTCTTACATAATACTGCGGGGCCGCTAGGACCCCGCAGTCCTGAATAAGGTTTCTTCACCGGTCTGTGGCCGCCGAGACGATAGATCAGGCACGCCATAAAGTTGTGGAAAGTTTTGGCAAAATACGACCACCAACTCTCCTCTCCTGAGAGGGAAGGGAGGAGGGGGGAGGGTGTGTAGTCTCGGAAAACGGGGAAGTTCAACAAATATAAAATTCTTCCTCAGCCAGCAGAGCACGTCGGGGGGGGGTCCAGTCAGAGGAGTCGCAATTGCAATAAAGGTGCGGGATCGTGTTTGCCTTTGGAGAAATGGTTTCATTGTGGCTTCTCTCGGTTTATCCTGTGTTAGGTACTCTATAGCCACCCTCCACCTCACTCGACGGCAAAATTTCAAGGAAAAAACATTTTTCGGAAGACATTGGTGGTATAACTTTCATGATGAATTAAGCTGAACACTCACCCCAGTGACCTCCGAACACTCGAAATATTTGCTGGCACCAATCCGTTTTGCGAACGTCTCAGCCTGGTTTCAAGGGCATTGGTAGGTATTTCACTTCTCCACAACCGTAGTTCTCGATTAGCATTGAAAGCCTTTTCTCGATCTGTGTCGAGAATCTGAAATGAAGGGATATTTGCTAATGAATCTCAAGCTGGCACACCGCTGAGCTCACGCTGAGAGCCGACTATCGGTTGTTTTTCACGTGCAAGTAATGTTCCTTAGTTCTTAACCCCCTCGTGGTTTGAAGTGAACAGTAACAAGCAAACAAGGGACTCAGTTCATCAAAAAGGGTGATCTGATGCATTGTTCACCCAAGTGAAGCATTAATGGAATGTTTTGGACGAGCGAGCTCAAGCAGCCGCCCACTAAATCCTCTTTCGCAACGTTCCCTCAATGTGCAGCACTTGCGTCGACACCAAGAAAGCAGTTAGAACTGAGAGGGGGCGGACAAGCAGCGCGTTTAGATATGGTTAGGAGTCTGGTTGGCCGTGTAGGGGGCGCACGGAGTATGGAGGCGGCGTGTCCCTCGAACTCCCTTCTGGTGCTCGTTTGAAAGGGAGAGTGGCAGCTGTTCAACTGCGGACCTATTTCGCACATGGGAGGAAGAATACACAGTCACTCCCCTCCTCATCTTCATCGCCCGGTGAGGAAAAAGTTGGTGAGGATAATGCAGGATTAGAAGGGGGCGTACCAAAGAAAGAAAGTCGGTAGTTGTATTCTGCCAAGAAAGGACTTCCACAACGAATGGTGTGCTTTGGTCCGACATCTCAGAGACCAAAGACCACAGAAGTATCGTCACATTAAATTCGTCAAAACTTCTCCTTCCAACCATAAGACGATTGAAATTAGAAGTAGTCTTGCTGGTAAGCGGGTTATGCATGGATGAGACCTTAATATGTAGTGATTCGTCGTCGTTCAAAAACCGCACCTTATAAATTCAGGGAGGTGTTGTCGAAGGTGACCTATGAGCAGGAGGGGAACATTATTGGTGAGCGAAAAGAAGTGAAATGCAGGGCAAGTTGGGAACACTAACGATGGGTGACAGAGAGGGATAGCAGCTGATAAAGGCCGATAAGAGACCAGAGAGATAAGAGACCCAACAAGGGTTATTCCCGTGAGTCGAAAGAAGCTGCGTAATATCTGCAGCTGAGTCACTCATGTGCAGGCTCCAGAGGACCGTCACGTGGAAGTGCGCCACATCAGACCGGCATTCTTCGGAAAGCCGCTATAGCTTATAGTTCGATTCTCATGATTT